CAAGTAAAGCGTGGCTACACCAGGTCTGCGGGGCTGTTACCGGGCTGGCAATTCTTGAGCTTTTTGACCTATCTACCAACTACCCCGAGTATCGTGGGCTGCACAAGCCTTGACACCAATATCCGCATTTCAATTTTTTGGTCATTTATTTTTGGTAGCAGGGTAACTACACTGCATTTCCAATAGCGTCGCAATGAATTTCTAGCGAACAGTAGTGTTCATACCTGTATAATTTCATGGCTGTTTTGTTTGCGTGGGAAGGACGCGCGGGTGAGATCGCACATGCTGGGGGGTCGCGTGGGGTTACAGCGGTCTGGAGGAGCTGAGACCAGGGTTACACACTGGTTTCAGTGTCATTGAACTGGAAAGCTCCGTTTTTTGTGGGGGCTTGGTGGCCGAGTGGTGTAAGTCCAAGAAGAGCAGATTATTATTTTTTTTTTGCAGCTGGCAAACTGGCTAACGTGGATGAGGAAACAAGTGTTGCGAGTGACGCTGAGAATTAGGCTCTCGCGGTCTATCCTCAAAAGCAAACACCTCAGCCGCATCTCTGGAAAAGGGCCGTTCGCTGCTGGCTGTGCTGGAGGCTGGGCCAGGCTGGTTCGGGAGCCTCCAGGGTGTCCTTCCAGAACCGAGGGTGTCAGACGAGGGTGCATGTGAAGTCTCTCCTCCTTGGCAATCCCCCATCTTTTGGGTTTTAAAGCTTTTGGGCAATTTTGCTGTAAGAAAGCTCACCGCGTACACCTGATGTGAGAACAGGAAGAGCTTGAAGTAACATTTGCATGTCAAAAAAAAAAAAAGTCAAAGAATCAAAACAGCAATTGAAAAAGGGAAGAAAAACACTGGAGTACGTCAAATGTCCACTGGTGTTTAACGCTCTGAGCGTTTCAGCCTGGTTGCTTCCATCCCACAAGTACGCTCACCCTCCGCCCTCCCCTTGTGTGTTTTACTAATAACCTCTGAACTTGAACTACATGGTGAGCTCTCCAGGGCAGGGAGCTGCAGCCCTGGCCAGAGCTTGGGGCAGCTCTGGACCCCATGGGGTGAGTTAGCAGGTGGGAAAAAACCCCAGGAGCAGCTCTTTGTCCGTGGCCGTCGGGACCCAGAGCTGGTTTTAGAGCCCGAGTTCAGCCGCAGCACTCCCAGCAGCGCCGGGCTCCTCCAACCTGCTCCGAACCTCCACTTAGCCTTTTATTGATGTACGAGAGCAGAGCATTAGAGGTCAGTCCTCTGCAGTTGTAAACCGGCATGTGTAAGACTAATATCGGCACTTGCTTGATCATAGAATCATAGAACCGTTTACGTTGGAAAAGACCTTTCAGATCATCAAGTCCAACCGCAAACATAGCACTGCCAAGTCCACCACTACACCATGTCCCTAAGCGCCACATCTACACGTCTTTTCAATACCTCCAGGGATGGCGACTCAACCACTTCCCTGGGCAGCCTGTTCCAATGCTTGACAACCCTTTCCGTGAAGAAATTTTTCCTAATATCCAATCTAAACTTCCCCTGGCGCAACTCGAGGCTGTTTCATGTACATCCAAGACTCTTGCATGGACCTTGTGTACCATGGGTTCAAGTTGGAGATCTGTAGGGCAGTTGGGGCTTTCTGTGCTTTGCGGGATGTCCGATGTCAGGGATGTGTGTCTGCTCGCAGTGCTTGTGCACTACACCTCGCCGGTGTCATTTCCTCTGCCTTCCCCTCTGCTTTCAAAGCAGGGCAATAGCTCCGAGCCTTGGCACACGCCAGGCACTCAGTGAAGTCCCCAGCAGGACAGGGAACCCAGCGCAGGCTCAACAACGCTCACAAAAATGGAAGAAAAACAGCATCGCCTTCAGTCCCCAAAGCGTGTACCCAGTGGGAAGCTGCCTGGGAACCGGCTTCCCATGGGGAAGCACCCAAATCCTTGCCCTTTTAGCTCTGAAGGGGCTGAGTCTGCTCTACAGAGATAGTTTTAGTAAATAAGCCGGGTCGTCGTCCCCCCCCACACCAGCCTGCTCCACCCACCCTGGGAACTGGCACTGTTCATAAGAAATGCTGGGACTGGGCCGGGCCGATAGGCACGATGCCAAGGCAAGATGCCTTCTTGTTGACCTAGGAAGAGTAAAAATGTTGGGTTTAGCGTGGAAAAAAAAAAAAAGACCTACTTGGAGGAAGTTATGAAAAATCACACAAATGTGTCTGTGAACTTGGCCGCTGCACGGCGGCGGCGCTGAAAATAGCTGCAAGAACTGGGCTGCATCGTGGTGAGCAAAGCTCCAGAGAGCTGCGGCTTCTGCTGAAGTGTGAGGAGCAGGGGGTGACAGGAGGAAGATGATGCCACATCTCATGGCGAGGGCTCGCTCTGTCTTGAGGAATTCACCTGTTTTAGCATCTTGCCCGTTTGAAGGTCAACTTGCATTTATTGGCTTGTTTTTAGACGGGCTCAAAAGGTATTTGCGTGAACTTTGAAAAAAACAAAACCATAAGCAAATGCAACACAGTCGTCAGAGGTGACATAATTGCTATGACTCAACTTATTAATATTGGCTGTATTATGTAACTGTTGGTCTCGACACTTTCTTATCTTGTCTTGTGAGTGTGCTACTGGCCATTAATGGCGATAAAAGAATTTGTCAGGTATGAAGCTGAAAATCTAGGTTTTCAGACTTTTCAGTCACCCTTTCCAAATACAGCGTAAGAAGGGTCTCCACTGAGCCCCGCTCCAGGGGCAGTCACCCACCGTGGTGATCCTTAATACCGAAACAGGGCAGGGTGCATCGGGAAGCAGGGTTTCATCCCCTGGGAACGGTCTCATTAGTGGTCATGAAGGTCCATGGAGCAGCACCAAGATTTAATTAAAGGTTAAATAGATTGTTTTATGAGCGATGTAGTCTGCCTAAGGACTCTGACCACAGAAGTGGGGTCAGGAGGTGCAAAAATTACTTAGAAACTTCATGGTTTGATGGTAGCTCAGGTGGACACAGGTCACAGTCAGGCTGAGCAAAAATTAAATATTTCAGCTCATTTCAACAAGACAGCTGTTCTTTGTGGTTTGTTTTCTTTAAGAAACACAATTGAAACGTTTTATTTTGATTTTATATCTGTATGAGGTGATTTAAGGAAAATTCAAATGTACTTGTGGGAAATTCCCTTTTGATCTAAATCATGTTTTCTGAGACAAAAGCGCTGCGATGGGAAAGTTCCAAATAACTCAGATGTCAACATTTGTTTTAGTTATTTGAGACAAACGATGCTCTGCACATTAAAGTATTTGATTTCATCTTGTTTTATGATGTAACTGAGTGATCCCTGTATGTCCACATGCTTGTTATTGCCAGTAAATGGTGTTGGCTGGGTACAAGGTGCCGGTGACAGACGCCATGAGGCCGATGCCAGTTTATATGACTTTCCATTAGCTACATAAACAAGTAGGTCTGCCACCAGCCACCAGCCACTATTGTACAGGGAAACTCAGCCTAAACACGGTCTGAAGCCCTGTAAATACAGGCTACAAATGCAGCTGCTTCCCAGGACGATGCATGAGTCAATCCCAGCCGAACGTAGGTGGCTGAGGAATGATCAGGCTTCTCCAAGGGCTTGTCCTAGAGTTTACATCAGCTATTTCCACCCTTCTTTTTAGTGGCTGTGCCTTTTGTTACTGGCAGAGTAACTGCTCCAACCAGCAAAACAAAAAAAAAACATATATAGATGTCATGGTTTAACCTCAGTCGGCAACTGAGCACCACGCAGCCGCTCGCTCACTCCCCCCACACCCCAGTGGGATGGGGGAGAGAATTGGAAGAGCACAAGTGAGAAAAACTCATGGGTTGAGATAAAAACAGTTTAATAATGGAAATAAAATAACAATAACAATAATAATAATAATACACAAAGCAAGTGATGCACAGTGCAATTGCTCACCACCCGCCGACCGATGCCCAGCCAGTCCCCGAGCAGTGGCCCCCCCCGGCCAGCTTTCCCCCAGTTTATGTACTGGGCATGACATCCCATGGTATGGAATGTCCCTTTGGCCAGTTGGGGTCAGCTCTCCTGGCTGTGCCCCCTCCCGGCTTCTTGTGCACCCCCAGCCTTCTCAGTGGGTAGAGCATGGGAAGCTGGAAAGCCCTTGACTAGTGTAAGCACTGCTCAGCAACAACTAAAACATCGGTGTGTTATCAACATTGTTCTCACCCTAAATCCAAAACACAGCACTGTACCAGCTACTAGGAAGGAAATTAACTCTATCCCTGCCGAAACCAGGACAATAGAATATAACCTTTGAAACTCTTTACCCTGTGACTGGGGAAAGTCCATCTGCTGTTGTGAGCCATCTTTACAGGTAATACAGCTCAAAGTCTTGGAGGCTGTCCCTTAAATGGCAGGCATACTGGCTTTCCTCTGTAAACATTTTGTATAGGTAAATAACTTATGAAATAGAAATATGGGTAATTCTGATGTAGAGGACAACAGGAAGAGGAGCTGGGCTGAGGAAACGGCGGAACGTGTGTGTGCCATAGGACCTCTGTGTTCATGCATGGAAGATACGTATGAAAGTGTCCTGAAAATGGTACCATCACTTTGGATTTAAAGACCATGTTTAAACGGGTGATGGACGCACCTGGTTGCGGCTGCGTGGGACATACTGTTAAGAAAAGAGATGTTAGGAAAGGGGTTGCCATTTGATGCCACTTGTCAAAACCATTATCCCAATATCACTGACTGGGGGCTTTACAAGAGTTTGTTCTTTTATTTTTCCAGTACTATTCTGCCTGATGGTTGTTGCTTATTAATATTGTTCAAGGAATTTTGCATCATTCGAAGGGCATGTTTTGCATTAGAGGGGGAATGTCCAGCTGACTGTTGCCAGGATACCATTAAGCAATGCCTTCACATCTACTAAAGAAAATAATCTGAAATACATACCAAATACAAAGTGTTTGGAGGACCAGAACAATCTGACTTATTACTTGTTATTTACATTCTCTTTTCCAGAGAGTGAAAGTGCCGGAAATAAAGGAGAGGAGCTACTTTGCACAATTTCCGTGATTTTACAGATTACATTTCAAATTTGTAGAAATCTGCCATGGGAAGGGGGCGCTGGCGAAGCTGGGGCCTCGTCCGCTCAGACGGTGTCGCAGGGAGCGGCCAAAGCTGGAACCAGTTCCCAAAGCGTTCATGGTCTCGTGGTTCACCAGGACTTTGGTTCAAGACATCAGACTCTAATCAATGAGTTTTGGGAGACGCGCACGCGGCCGCATGGGCCGTCTCGAATAGCGTTTGTCGGTAAGGAGCTGGTCCGTCTGCCCCGTCATGTCGACAGTCCCACGTGCTGGAGAGGATGCAGGTATGAAACTGGGCTTTTCCTCCATCAAATAAAACACTTTAAATCAAGTTCTGTGCATATGCTAAAAAAAAAAAAAAGACAACGACTTGATTACTGGAGATGAACAGTGCACCTACTCAGAGACCAACATTAAGCGGTCTTCGAGGTGGTGGGGAGAGTATCTGTACCATTACCCCTGTTCTGTCTCCTTGCATTTTGGATTGGGCTCCCACATGAACACTGTAGATACAGCAGCTGTTGGACCGTTTCCATCGCACATCAGCAGACATTGCCCAGCAAGAAAAAAGTTGTATTTGGTTTTTTAATGTGCAAGATAACAGGACATAAAGACTTGGGGTGGCTTACGGCTGTAATATGTAATTTTTATTTTAAGTCTGTTGATTTATTTGTTCAGTTTTATGTTTGTATCTCAACAGCGTGTTCCCTGTACTTCATACAGCTGTTTTTCAAAGTATGAGTTTTCCGTCGTGCTAGTGCTGAACTTCATGGCTCCATACAGTAGAATTTAGATATTTGTGACAAGTAAGGGGTATTTTCAAGCGGCCATCCAGCATTACAGTATTTGTTATGAAATAAGGACAGACTTTTAGATTCTGATGTTACTTTTTACTCACTTAGCACTCATGTAATCTTAATTACACTGCTTAAATTAATTCTCACTTAAATGAGAAAAAAATAGGACAGTGTTGGCCCCATTTGATTTTTATCCAGAATGATAGAATGGTTTATTCAGTCAGCAAGGAGTCTCAGAATAATACAGATTTATCTTCTTTTGCAAGAGTATGATAAATTTGATTAATCTGGTCTTGTGGTCATGAAGATTAGTCCATCTGATGTGGCACAGAGCTGTTTGATGATTGTACTAGGAGGGGTTGTTTTGAGGCCAAGACCTCTCTCTGCAGATGCTGTGCAGGCAATGGTGACTTCTGCTGTTAAATGTCAGGCTCTTCTCTAGTTCTGCTTCCCACGCTGGACATGGCTCCAGCCTTACCCTGCCTGCTCACGTGGAGATGTTGCAAGCTTCAAGAGCTTGAAAGGGAAAGTTCAGATTTGGCCCTGAGCTTGGACAATGCCAGTGGTAGATCCAAGACTGAAACCACCAAGAGATCAGGTCTCCCCTTCCTGCGTGAGCGCTTCTGGCTTATTTCACGTTAGAGCATGTTTGTGTTTTCTGCTGGATGGCAACAAGATCCTGGAGTCCACCGTTAGCTTGACTAAGAGTTGGGTCAGGAGTCCCCTACGTGGCCGTCTGCTCCCGCTTGCAGGAAGGGAGCCCGGCGCAGCCATCCGCAGCAGTGAGGGGAGGTGAAGTGGCAGAGACCTCGGTGACACCCTTTGCAAACGGGGCGGTATGGCATTTGGAGCCTGTGCAAAAATTTCGCTGGGGGGCAAAACCATCATTAAGATGGTATTCCGTAAGTGTCCGAAATGGTGGATATCCCAAAGTGTCTGAGACGGTCTGGTTGCGCTGTACCCCGGGTGCCTGGAGACACCTTGGAAGGTGTGCTGCTTCACCAGGGACTTCTCCAATACTTTACCCATCTTTTCACCTGCTAAGCAAAGCCTTCAACACGGCAACGAGCAAGAGGGACAAAGCACAGCTCGGGTCTCTTACACAGCACAAGGCTTTGTGTCATCTGAGTTATAGGACATCAGATTACTGCAAGAGGTATCTCCTTGCGAAGGAGATGTGCCCAAACCTATCTGACACCTGAGGCCGCCTGAAATCAAACCGCGGTGCTGCCTGTTGAATATGCTACTTTGGACCCGCTGGAACTGAGCAGACATCCAAGAAGGACTTGGAGGCTAAATTTTGGTTTTGGCTTGGTTGAAAGGTACTTGGGTCTTTTGAACTTTCCTGGTGTGTCAAAAAACACAAAAATGTAGAAAATTTCACATAGGGGTCTTGTGTCCCATCCCCTTCCCTCGTCTCACCTTGATTTCTGGTACTTGCTGTTTGGTTTGGCTAAAATCAGAAATGAAAGGATAGTATTTCTAATTTCTCATTCTGACCCAGACCAGGAAATGTGGAGAAGCATTTCTAATCTTTCTAAGCCGAATCTCTTTTTTTCAAGCCTGTAAGCAGGTAAAGGGAAATTTGCTTTTTGATCTAAGACGTAGATATCCAAAACACTTCACTCACCTTGGGTAAAAAAATATTATAAGATGCTCCAGCCTTTAAATATTCTGGTTCCTGGAAGCAAAGAACTTTGTACTTTTATTTCAATTTAAGTTCATTCTTGGGTAATCAATCTTTGCTTTTCTAATCGGATATAGTGTGTGTGATGTGGGACTTTCCAAAACCGACATCTGATTTGGTTGCTGTGTTCTCTGTCGCGCTGGCCCTGATGGAGGGGCTAATATTTCCCCATAATCTTTCCAGGGTTCATCTTCCTATGCAGTGTACTTCATAACCTTCTTCATTAACAAAGAGAAAATTATTAGTTTGTGGGGTTTTTTGGAACAGAGAAAACTTCCTGTGAAGTTTTTCATCTTACATTTGATTTAAAAATGTAAGGGATTAGAGGGGGTTGAAAGCAAACAAAAATACTTGTATAAGTTGTCTGCTTTCCACAGAAATTGTCTATTTTTTTGTAATTTACGGAAAATTGCTTTGCTCTCTTCTTTCTCCTCTGCACTGCTTCCTCCCTCGTCTCATCTGAACAACTTTTTCTCCACTTTGCAGACAAAGTTTTCCTGTTTTCTGCTGAAGAAAGCCATGTATCATTTGGTGGTTTTTTTCCTTTGGAGGCAAAGTGGAAATTTCTCTCGCATCTGCTATTTTTCCTCCGCAAGCATCCTCATTTTCCTGAGCCCTTTTACAGTGCCTCCTTGTTAGGGGACAGAATCGTTCCAGTGATAACTTAGATCTGTTTGTTTGGGGAGAAAATGTGAATTATTGCTCACGAGGCACCGCTTCTTTTGCGTTTTCCCACGGCAGATCTGCATTCCCAGGCACGGTGGGTTTCCCCCGTGGACCTTTATCGTCTCCTGGCTGCATGGACCGTTACTGGCTTGGGGATGAAGTGTGAAGGGCAGAAACTCGCTGTGCACAGCCCGAGTGTCGGGAGATGCTGCGTCTGCTCCGCTCCTGCCCCAGCCCGACATCCTGTGCGACCTGCAAGCAAATCACCCGGTCTCTTTGCATCGCCGTACCTAGCCATCCTCGTTCGGGGTAATTAGAGCTTCCTCGCTCGTAGGGTGCTGGTAGGGGAACTTCAAGCTGCGGTGGTGGATTCACACGTCGAAGTGGAGCCCCGCGTGCTGTGCTGTGCTCCACGAGAGGAAGCAGCTTGTGGGAAAGGTATGAACCAGAAAAACAAATGGTGCCTCCAAAAAGCTGCCGCAGGCTCTGAGCAAGCTGAGGAGGGGAGTTCCTGAGATGGAACTGCACGAAACCGCAGGAGCCGCTGTGCAGACGGGCGCCAGGGTGCGTTGCTGCTGGGAGATGCAGCTCCTTGCGGGGGGGACTCGGGGATTGGGGGGCACCGTCTCTGTGCCTTCATCCCTGACACCCTGGCCCTCACTTCTATTTAAAAGCATGTCTGGGTGCTGCACCCTGTTAAGTAGCGTATCTGGGAAATAATCGGCCAGAGGCTGGAGCTTATCCCCATGCCAGAGCCGTCTCTCAGATCTTCAGCGGCGCAGAACTCCCCGGCTTGGTTCATGTTTCTCATGATACGTAACTTGCTTGAGTTTTATTGCTTAGGTAGGCATAAACTCTAGAGCTTCAGATACCTCCCCGCTCTACTTCTAGCCAGCAGCAAGCCCTGCATTAGTCACTTCGTGATGCTCCAAGCCGTTGCACGGGAGGAGGCGGTGGAAAGCCTGCCAGTCCCAGTGCGGTCGGACACCTCCGGCTGGTTCTTATTACAAGCTGGACAGTGTGCGAGGTGTGTCCTGTCCAGGCGTTTAAACATTGTCTCGGGTCACGGGGAAGGCAGATCTTAGACAGTTAAAGCACCTGAAGACAGTGCAGGAGGTGAGGAATATGGGAAATGCTTTTTCGTGGTGAGATGGGTAGGCTGGAATGGATAAACTTTTGGGAAGCAGAGACTGTGCCAAGGACTCCCGCAGCTGTTAGTGGAGGGCTACAAAAATTTTAGGCTCCCTGATCTAAGTTTTCATCTTCCAGCTGCAAGAAGAGCATTTTTGTCTTGGAAATGACTTCAGGGTAGAAGCATTAGAAAAATGCAGTTCTCCATCTTCACATCTTGCCGTGCTGAATGAAGCCTTTGCGGGGCAGACCCTGCTGTCCACCTGACATGGGATGGTTTCTAGCGTGAGGAAGACGACGGCGCTTTCCCGCTGTAAGGGAATATAGCCAGAATGAGGTGGTGAGTGGGAGGTGGTTGGCAGGCTGTAGCCAGACCTGCCAGCGGCTGCTTCAGTGACGGTGGTTGGAGAAGAGCTTTATAAAATATACCAAAGGTAACATGCTGTCGGCTGTCTTGATGCCAGTGTTGTAAAAGCGTATATATATATATGTATATACACACACAACACTTGCAGGGAGAATGGATATCAGCACGTGAAGAAATGAATACACTTTGGCAAAGAAGGAATACTTTTTATCAGCCGAACTAGAAATAGAGTAATATTCAGTATGTTAACAGTGTCCCTTTCCTTACAGCGCTTGATACATGCTTTATACCCAGAAGAGGCGTGGGATGAAGCCAGGGCTGGGAAACTTTCCCCGTGGCAGTGGGCATGCGGAGGAGGTTTCTGGAGGAGCAGCAGTTGATGGTCCGCACACCCAGCAGCTCCGGTGCTCCCGACCAGCGGCTGGGCGACGGCCAAGGGAAGGCTCTGGCCATCCGGCGGCTGTTGGGTGTCTAACGTGACAAGGGAACACCACAGGGAAATGTGGAAGACAGACGGTCGAGTTAGTCCTGAATCTGCATTCAGGTTCGCAGCCATGTGTTTTGCAACCGGTAAAGATGAAGATCTTAATTTTGGCATTTCCTGTGCATTCTGCAGCCAGGACACAGCCCGTGTCTGCTCTGTGTAAGAGCCTTGGGAACGCTGGCGTGCCGGGTGTGTATTTTTAGGTCACTTCCAGAGAAGTGGATTCGCTTCGATGGAACCAGCCCACCGCCTCGGCACTCAGCCGCGTTGTGGTGAGGATGAAGGACAGTTTCCACCTCACATCGTCTCGCTGTCGCAGGTTTTGACTTTGCTCACACGTCTGCTACTGCTTGATCTACCTTCACTGACGCTCAGACTCTGACCCTGCCAAGATCGTTATCACACCATCTCTGGATTTCAGTGGCCAAACGCTCAAAAGCCGGGGCCCCCAGCAAGGGCTTCCTCTGCCTAACACAAAATAAAGACCAACCTCTGCTGAACTGACTCATCCCCCTGTAATCCCTCTCTTCAGGAGGTCTCTCTGCCTTCCTGGAACCGCCTGGTTCATTAGGAATCGGGCCCTTGAATGTGTTAGAAATGTAGACCTCCTATTCCCACAGGCGTGGCAGAATGGATGTGCATGTTGTGTCTTAATAATCTGGTCTTCTGGGGTTGTCAGACTGTTTGAAGGAGGTTTGAAATGGGGACCAGTTTTATCCCACACCAGGCATTGGGTCCTCACTTAACTAACTGTGCAACTCCATATAGATTTCTCAGCCTAAAATATAGTACTATACAGTGATCGGATATTATTTAGAAAGTATTCGGTAAGTAACATCTGCTGCCCTGAAAATTAAATTAAGGGTGTTAAATAGGAGTTTAAAGAAGACAGGTTTGGGGAAAAAAAAATCTTTGAAGGTACCTATTTTAGCTCAGATTTCAAATTTAAATTTCCTCAAAGATGTTGGCAGGATTCATTTCTCCTTTGTACATGTAACATATTTGTTCATATATGCCATTATACAGCTCCTTTCAAGCTGAATATTATACTGGAATACAGCAAAAGCCAAATTTAAGATATGAAACTGGAGGAGACCATATTTCATACTGCATAAAATGCACCTCTGGAATTTTCAGTTCTTCTTTTCTGCAGTATTACAAATGCCTTTATAAAGTATCATGGCTGATGAGCTTAAAAAAAAAAAAAAACACCTGTGGCTTTGGATATATTCACTTCAAGTTTGTGGTTAATATTTCCCAGCCTGCTTAGAGGTGAGTGTAAGTTCAGTCATCGCACCAGTCTCTGCTGGTGTTTCTAAATGACTCTGATAAAAGATTGTGAAAAATGGACCTGTGGTAAGTTGCATCATCCTTGTTATGCATTTTAAGATGGGGACACAACCCAAGCTGAGTGTCCGGGTCACGCTCAGCCTTCCCTCGCACTCATTCTCCATCCCTGCAACACCGGTGCAGTTCAGCCGGCGCAGCCCACGGTGGGTGCAAACCCACTGCGCTCTGCTGTGAGTTAATTGCATAGCCGTGCATCGCTAGCCATGCCTCTTTCCTCCTTTGCGCTAGAAATTTTGCATTAGCTAATGGTCATGAAGACGGCCAGATTTCTCTTTGATGGAAGATAAAAAGCTGCTCTGGGTGGAAGGGCCCAGCCACTGTGTGCAGGACCCCCATCAGCTACAAGTGTTCAAGTGGTGCGAGACCGCTCTGAACCGAGAAGTCCTGGAACAGCACATCACTTTCTCACTGCCTGTGTCCTGAACTGTGCGACCGCTCTTTAAACCCCTTTCTTTCCAAAATACAAAGAGCTTTTTCCTTCTCAATCTTTGAGAGGTTTTACTTTAACCTCATTAAACTTCATTGCCAAAATCCAAAGCAGATTGAGATGAAGCAGCTGATATGTGAGAATACGAGGTACAAATTGGTGCTGAAGAAACGCTTGCTATAAAACAGCCTCCCCATACGCATCTTTAAACAACGTACATCACCGTGAGGTACAATAGGAAGAAGTGCCTGGTTCGGCAGAGTTACATTAGAAATTAAACCAAGCCCAGCCTCTCTGCGTACAGCCAGGGCTGTTGGCTGCTGGCTCGTTGCATGTGCTTGGTTTTTGTGGTGCTGGGATATATTTATGTGTTTCATCTGTATGTCAATGTAAGAAAGCAGAGACATAAACCCTCCCGTGTACTTGGCTATTCTAAAATAAACCCACACAGCCACATGTTCTGAGGGAGGTCACACAGATGCTACAACCGTAACAAGTGCGAGTGTCCCTGCTCGCGGTCTGCTGCCCTGGCCCGTGCTGTCCCCGCAGGTGCGAGTCCGGGGTTACGTTATTCCGGGGGTGCCCTGTGATCCCCACGTGCAAACCTGATACGCATCCATATCCCAGAGCAGCTCCTGGTGCTTTGGGTGTACGTTAGGTACTTCAGCCATGCTGCTGGGATAGGAGCTCGGGGCTAATTCGCACCGGCACTTCTGTAACTCTTCCTGGCATCCATCTGCATTTAGGCACCAAACTGCAACGTGTCCCCTGGACCTGCAATGCTCTTTACTCTGCATCTTGCTTCTGTCGTCATGGCGGTCATTTGCTGCACCAAATTAGTCCTTAAAACCTAGCACAAGTAACAGATCCTTTTGTTTTTAGTGTTTTCTCTCCTGGGTAGAAAACAAAGTTTGGCAGCAGTGAGCCAGACTTTGCAACTGAGAGGTTGCTTTTCCTATTGCAGTTTTTGCCCGAGAGGGAAAATGGTATCTTAAATAAGAAGTGCCCCATGACTCAGTCCCCACACGATGGTGTGTTTCCGCTGGCACCCTGACACCTTTGGAAATCCAGAGCCTGGCTCGGACCCCTCGCTTTGCCGCTCATCATAAAGCAGGAGTGATTGTGCGTGAAAGGAGGTGCCTGGATGTGAAACCAGCTGAGAAATATCCTGGCCACTTCTCTTTTCCCATCAGTAGATGTTGCTTCAGTTCCCATTTCCTAATACTGCTGCTTTCATCGGCTTCAGGACCTTTTCACCAGTTGCTTGGCAAGGATTTGTGAGCCTTGGACCAAGACATACTTTAGCTATTTTAAATGAAATCTTTGCTATTCCTATTGCATTTTGTCTTCAAATGGGCATTTATCATCCGTTCTACATTTTTTTCCCTCTTTTATGACGACTAGCAATGCAAGCTAGAGTAAGATATTTACACCGTGCTGTCTGCAGGGCTCTGGCCATGGAAATAATCTCTGTCCTCCTCACCTCTTGCCTACACCCAACTTTTCCCCACTCTTCCTTTTAGCTAGACCCTTCCGCCAGCTTTCTCTCTACCAAACCTTGTACCACTTCCCTCTCCTTTAATATTAAACGGACACCAACTTGTATCTCAAATACCCTGTAAAATTTGTGAGTCTCAGACCACTAGAAAATTGCTCAGACACTTGCAGTGAATCAGACCGGAGCTGGCCAAGCGATACCTGCAGTCATGCTACTATTGTCTCATCGCTATATTGCTGCTTCTGCAAGTTTGTAGCTTTTTGGGTATTTAATTAGTGCTGGTTCCACCTCAGTGCCCAGGGGCCTCATTTTCCACCGCGGGGGGTGCTGCCATTTTGGGATCAGAGCTCACAACAGTGAGGAGGGGGAGGAAAGCAGTTCTCCTGATGGTGCAACACGCGTCTGGGTGTTAATTCTTGCTCCTATGGTGCTCGTGCTTGCTCTCCCCTAGGCTGTTAGACCAACTATACCTCATATCTGTACAGAAACTAACGCAATTCAATGCTGATTTTGGCCAGGAGCCTTGGTACTGCTTCAGCATAAAAATTCAGTAAGAATTTGCTTGTTTCCAAGAGACCCTTCGTCAGGCACTACCAGAAAGGAGCAGACTCAGACCCAAGCTGCCTTTGGGCTCTGACAGCCCAACGCTGCATCACCGAGCTGGTCCCTCCCCACCCCGGGCGTCCCTGTGCCCCACCGCCAGGCATTGCTGTCGCCAAAGCTCCTCTCATAAACCAGCTTCGGCACTGTGGTGGTTTGCACCCCGATGGCAAACCAGCTAGGAAACCAGTAGGAGAGACCAGGCTGGAAACGGTGGGGGTTTGGGACCTGGCTCCTGAGTGAGCTCGGCTGGCCCCGCAGCAGCAACGGTCTCAGCTGCCTGATTACAAGCAACTGTCCCAAAAACCCATGACCTTTGCAGCTACTATTTTCAGAGCTGTAAGGAAAAGGAAATAGGAAGTAGAGATGCTGTAATGCATTTTTGTACGCTGCTGGGTTCTGGTTTGCTCCAATGTGTTGCTGCTTACCTTGGGAGTGGGTTTTTTTGTTTGCATTTGCATTTGAATGTTGTAATCGGCAGCTGCAGCCCTTCACCTGGGCTCAGCACCCTGCCATGCTCTGGGTTTTCCGTGGGGCAGTTTGGCCAGGGGCGTGTCTCAGTAGCTGCATCCTGCTATCAGCAAGGGTTTTGCAGTGGTGCTATTTAGCACGGGGAGGAGGGAGAGGAGCCAGTAGGTCCGTTTATCTGCAAGCAGGGCTCCTGGGGCGGCGGGGCCAGCTCTGCAAAGCCCCGGCTGCGGGCTGAGCGGGGTCTGCCCCTGCGGCGATGTGTAGCAGAGCCAGGCTGGGAGCCTGCATCACATCGTGCTCCTCTTTGCACCAGGTACCCTGATACTGTTTGAAATTTTTATTGCTTGCTACCAAAGGATAAAAGTGGTTGAGAGAAAGTAGGAGTGCAATCCCGACGGTGGGGATGCACTGGTTTGCTGGTATCCTGGGGTTAGAGGGGAGACCCCAAGCTAATTTACTGGGACATTGGGTTGAGAAGTAAGAGCAAGTAAACTACACGCTCTGGGTTTTAGTAACCCTTGATCTGGGGTTTCTAATGCTTGTTTTAGAACTACATGTAAGGAAGCGTGCATCTTCTTGTTTGAACTACATGTGGCTTAAAACTGCTGCAGTCATTCTTGGCTTTAATTCCATTTTACCCTCAGAAGATTAGTAAATAAACATAATCATTTCCATGTAGTGGGTGCTGTGGGCTATCATTGATTGGCATGACTCAAAATAATTGCAGAGCATTAGTGAGTGTCCTGAGAATGAGAGGAAAACATTACTGGTGGAGCTCTCTGCACAGATGAGTCTCTAGCACATTGAGAGTGTTGCATTTTAAGACAAAATGAAACTGTTTCTTCCCTCCCACCCCCACCCCCCCATTCATAGACAGAAGCCAAACTCATACTGGCTCTAGGCTTTCCTTTTCTGTTTTTTTTTTCTCAGTATTTCTGATTTTTCCTCTCCTCCTTTCACTGTACCTGTTCTCTTCTTTGTTTCCACTTTACAGGACACTTCTCCTGTGCGTGTTTCTCCTGTCCTCCTCTTGCAATGCTCAGGATGGGGGCCAAGCCTAAGGGCAGGTGATGTCTGCCCCTGTGTGAGTGGGAATATCATGCAAACAAGGAAAGAACTTCCAAGGCACCGAATGCCTCTTCCTAACCTGTCTGTGCCAATTGCCCTCTGCTCCTATATACTTCAGTAAGAAATAAGGAATTGTCTACTGTGGCTTATTCTAGTAATAACGTGCATTAAAAGTGCCTTCACAGGAGCTTCCCACATTGTGCAGAGGGCAAGGGATCTCTTGAGCTTTAGTTTTCTGCATCTAGATTATTTTGTTTAAGAGGCTTCCTGAGAAATTAAAAGCACTTGTGAGCACAGCTGCAATACCACCAAACCCCAGCGCAGGCAGGGCTTCTCAAGGCTTTGCAGAATTGCTGGTTGTGCTCTCCTCGGCGTCCCTCTGGAGACAGGAACAGGGGTGAGCAGATGGACCTCTGCATCTTCCAGCAGCACCAGCCTGTGAAGGTTATTTCCCCCTTCCAATTCAGTGAAAGCTTTTGGTCTGATATTTCTTGGTTAGGGGGTGGAGGGTTTCTTGTTATTGATGATTCAGCTTTCCTCAGTAAGTTTAGAGTCCATTTTTTGGAGTTTGATAAAGCAAATACTAAGGCAGCTCCTCAGTGCATGGAATGCCTCAGCTCGCGTGAAAGACTTGGGTAGAAATGCCATGTAAAGTCTGGTTGGGATTCGCCTCTGCTGATTGAAGAAGCTGATATAGGTGGTTTCACCTGGGAGCTTTATGCTGCTGCACTTCTGTGCAGCAGAGAAACATCATACAACAAGTGAGGGAACGGCCACCGATAGCTGTATTTCTATGGCTGTGAGGTGTGGAAGAACAGGGGACTTACTACCAGACCTTAACTGAAACATAATCAAAATCTAACAGGAAAAGAGCTCTTCTGAAAGCATGGTCTGGAAGCCAGCTGCTGATTAAAGAAAGATGATAAACAGATGGTAAATCAGTGCACTAAGCAGAAGGAGAAAGCAAAGAGCTTCTTGTGAACTGCACCACCTGCAATGATCT